AACATTTATGTTAAAAAACTGAATGAAAAAATCATAAAAGAACCTAAACAATCAAGTCTGGATTACTATCAAGTCAAGTATAAAGAAGATACCAAGAAATACGTTTAATCATTAACTAACAAAATTTCGTGTCTCAAAAGCGGTTTGTTTATTCCTGCTACTTTGTAAGTTTTATTACCCATAATATCATATTCAATTTTATCAATATTGAATATTTTATTAGACCATTTAGAGTTATACTCCTTTCTGTCGGTGTAATTACCCCTTTTCTTTTGGAACACTTTTACCTTGTCGTTCTCCTCTATTTTGGGATACTTTCTTTTGTTTTTTCTCGTAGTTTAAGATTGACCTTTACATTTATTTCATTGTCGTCCTTGTGTGCTTCAGACGGTGCCATCCTTGTTGATGAGTGAGATGTGCTGTTATACTGTTTCAATGCTTGCGTTAGGGCGTCGGTCCATTTCATGTTGTTAAACCTAACTCTATCGTGAATTTTGTTTTTCATCGTTCTAATAAAACGCTCGGCCACATTTGCGTGGGTCTTCGTGACGATGTGGTTTATTCCTTCACTGTTGAAGAAATCCTGAACTTGATTTTTAGTTGCAAACGCTCCGTCGTCATCAGAATACACGGACATCGGATAACCCATCTTTTTAAAGCTTGCTCTCAACGCCTTCAAAACGTGCTCTCCGTCTCTTTCCTCCATCGGTATTACATCTGCTAATTTACTGAAGATGTCAATCACGACTAAAGCATACTGTGGAACGTTCTTGTCTTTTGCTAAAGGTGACATATGCATTATGTCTATTTGATATTCATATCGTGCGAATGGAGCGGTATAGGAATTAGTACCTCTATAATTTTTGATTTGTTTATTTGGTTGTTTCTTCAAGAAAGACTTTACATCGTCTAATGTTATTGTTGTGTCTTCTTCCTTTGCCTTCTTGTGTGTCGCTTGTGTGCTTCCGAAACCCTTGTCTAAGTCGTAATAGATGTTGCTGATTATTTGGTCTTTTGTTAATCTCGCCATTATATTAAATTGTTAGAAAATATTTTTTCAAAATAACGCCCCACCCCTTAACATAAAATAAAAAACTACTTAAAGAAATATTAACTTATTATATTAAGTGAAATTATGGCTGAAATAAGATTAGAGGACTTGAATTTAGAAAATGTCGGAGTGATTGCTGACTTATCAAACTGGACGCTATCAGACGAAGAAGATGATGATAATGACAGTTATAAAAAGGAATTAGATGAAGAGTTAAACAAAATAAAGGATTTCATCAAAAGACACCCTTTGCCACCAGTTGATGAAAACGAAGAATTCTGGAAAGATGTCATTAGCAGGTTTAGGGATAATAGCGGATTAAACTTGATGGCGATATACTCATTTGTTAGGTTTGACATCATGAAAGAAATGTATGAAAACCTAACAGATGAAGACATCATAAAAGACTGTGGTAAAAAGTTAAACCGTGATGGAAAGTTTAATGCAATGATTATTAACCACTATATCTTATCAGGAGCGATACGGAAACTAAACAAAGAAGACAGTCTAGTAGATGGACAGATGCGAATTATTGAATTCTGGTGGGATGGAATAGGTGAATGGAAAGCGTGAGTGATTTAGTTTAATGATATTATTCAATTATAATATGATTAAACCTAGTGTTTATATTAAACTGTTAGAAAATATATATATTTTCAATATAAACCCCCGCCCCTCAACATAAAATAAAAAACTACTTAAAGAAAAATGGATATAATATAGTAAGAGAAAAAAATGACACTGTTTAATTATGACCATTGTCCTTGTAAAAATAAATGTAAGTCTGTCGTGGCACTAGCTAATATTTTACCTGTTGATGTGTGTAATCTTATAGGATGCTATATTAGAGAAACATGATTTGATTGTTGGTATCTGATGGATGAAGAAGAAAATTTTAAGAGAAATAAAGACATTCCTGAAGAAGGACTGGAAAAAGCAGAACTTCAATTAAACATTATTAAGCAAATGCAAAATAAAGTGCAAAATAATGATATTACACAACTAACAGGATACCATTTTAGTTTAAAACATTACAGAAAAACATTGACAGAGTATTTGATACACAAGAAGTTAAAGAACGGTTTAAAAATAGAAAAATGTATTATCAAGCATTAAAATCATACTGTAAGAATAATGAATATGAAGTTTGTTTAGTTTTAAGACATTGTCTTAACATTGAAGATTTACAAACAATTAAACGTTGTGGGTTTAGCTTTCCAAACCTAAACAGTTGGTGGTCATATAGAAATAACAATTATTATATGAGATATATTCTTAGCGAATTAATTGAAATTTACACAGACCAATTAATAAAAGGATACGAGCATTATTGTTGCGAGTATAGTATGAGTTGTTATAGTGGTTGTATCGCTGGTGAGATTGAATATGGGTCAAATTAACTTTTGTTTATTAATATTATTATCTTATAATATGATTAAACATTGTTTTATAATCTAACAAGAAGGTTAAGACATTTAAATTAAACCTGAAACCCAGACCAGCCGACCAGCAACCCCCTAGCCAAAACTACTTAAAGAGAAAAAACCTTATATATAAAGAGAAAAATGAGTGAGGGTAAAATGTTAGAGAATAATTTTATGGTTGAGAATTGTGCTAGCTTACCTATGGAAGCGTTGTTAAACATCGCTTCTTATATGAATGGCAATGAAGGGTGGCAAAGACTAAAACAGTGTAAAGCATTAAGGGTCTTACAAAGGAAATGGAAACCGTCTATTTTTGAACGAGAAGGAGAAGGAGAAAGTAGATATTATGTGTTGATTAGCAATATATGTTTGAAAGGTGATAAAGCACTTTCATTTGCGTTGAAACCACCAAAAGAATTATTAAGAGTGATGAAGTATGATGAAGAAATAAAGGTTGGAATAGAAATTAGTTCGAAAATTATGTATAGGAATAATATTTGCAACTGTAGTTATTATGCATCAAGCGAACAGAACAAGATAACAAGTAGAGCATCATTACAATTTTATATTGAAAAAATAGTTGAAGAAATAAAACAGACTATGAAACGAGACGAAATCATTACTATAGAACATATTACATTTGAAATTTAACAGAAACAATGATTTCATGGCTTAATCATAATATTTAATTATAATATGATTCAACATTGTTTTATAATCTAACAAGAAACCCAGACCAGCCGACCAGCAACCCCTAGCCAAAACTACTTAAAGAAATATTACCTTATATATTAAGAGAAAAATGAACGGTGATGGAATCAATAATTATATCGATAAAAAATGCTATGATTGTTGTCACTTCAAAAAAGAAAATATGGAATTGTATAAATTGAGTTTACCTAATGAAATTGTGAATAACATTATTAATTATTCAATGGATGGTGAAGAAGACATATGTAAAAATTGTAAAACTTGAAGAGATAATCAATTTTTAATCAAATGTCTGTTGGGAATAGAAAGAATACATAATAGAAATGTAGAAGATGATATTTTAATATTTCTAACTGTAAATAAAATACCACCTTACGATTGTGTTAAACAGTTTCTTAAAATCAGTAAGAAAAATATGAAATGATTGATGATATATTATGGATGTTGGGTTATAGTCAAGAGAAAGGAGAAGATGTTAAAGAAAATATCAAATTATTTATTGAAAGTAAAAAGTTTAATGTTCAGAATACAGTGAGAGATGTTAATATTATTTTTAAAATGATGTATGAAAGAAGTAAGACAAACCAATTAGATTATTATCCTGAACTGAAATTATAATCATAATATAATAATAACATGTAAAATCTTATATGTTATAATTATACTGAACTTTTAACCTATAAATGAAAATTGGTGAGAAAAACACTAACAAAACAAATACACCACCAACACCTCAGAACTTGATAACTACTAAACGGGCTACCTCTTTCAAATGAAAAAATGTCGGCCCCCAGCCCAACAATGAACAAGGCGGCAATTTACCCAAGTGATTACCTTAACGAAAACGATAAATAAGCTCCCTAAAAACCCTCTTTTAAAAACGAATAAGGGGGAACACAGATTTGAGATGAACATAAAAGCCAGAACAGGCAACCATCAACAGACCACCCCCCAGGCCCCCTACTTTTACAATTTTTTTTTGGGGGGGGGTCTAAATAATTGATTTGTTCAATCTTTTCGGCTCAAATATTTGAAAAAAACAATCTTTCGGCAGTTGAGCCCCTTACCTTGCTTAAGCAAGGAGAAACTTCAGCTAGCTAAAGCTAGCTTTCGTGAAAAACCCCGTGGACAACCCTTGTATCCTTATGCCTCAGTATCGGTCAGTATCGGTTTTTTCCTCTGCATCGGTTTGCAGTGTTTTGGCAGCTCTGGCCCGAAAGTCGCGACTTTTCCATACAAGTGCAGTATGCGAAGTACACTCTGCCAGCTCCCAGCTCCAGCTGGAAAGTCGCAACTTTTCAGTACAAGTGTAGTACACAAAGTACATTTTGGCAGCTCCAGCTGGAAAGAAGCAACTTTTCAGTAGTATGCGCAGTACACTTTGGCAGCTCCGGCTCGAAAGTCGCAGCTTTTCGGCGCAAGCAAGTGTAGTATGGTGTAGTATACGAAGTACTTTTTGGCAGCTCCACAGCGGAAGTCGCAACTTTTCAGTACAAATGTAGTACACAAAGTACATGTTGGCAGCTCCGGAGAAGGCTGCAGGGCAGCTGGTTGGATTCGGCATGGCGGCCAATGAGTTGGGTATCGGTTGGGTATCGGTTTGGGTATCGGTTTGGGCCCTGCAAATTTATGATTCCGGAATCTTGGTTTGCGACAACAACTAGGACCTGATGTGTGTCTTCATGGCTTCTGGGGGTATCGTTTTTTTTCTTCCTCTGTATCGGTTTACAATGGTTTTGGCCTGCGAAACAAGTTAAGGGACGGCCCCTTACATAACGAAAAGGCGCGGGGTTGTTTTTTTCAGCCCAGGTGGCTTCGGCTTCGGTCTGGTTGCCCTCCAGCTGCCTCAGCTGCTCTCTTCACGCGCCGGAGCTCCGACGCTTCGGCGCCTCAAAGGCGGACGCTCGGATTCCTTCGCGCTCGCGTTCAGCTTGGACTCCTTGGACTCCTTGGACTCCTTGGAGTCCTTGGAGTCCTTTGCCTTAAGCTGCGGCTTCGGCTTGTTCTCCATCCAGCCATCTACCTGGCTCTGTCTGACCCTCTTTCCGTGCCGATGCCATGGACGCCATGGATGCCATGGACGCCCTGGATGCCATGGTCACCCGTGCCAGGGGGGCCGGCAAGTCTGGTAAGCCCTTGTGACCTCAGGGTCCCAAGGTCCAAACGTCACGGAATCCCTCTCAGCCAAGCCGGCGGCGCCGCTCCTTGTGCTTCGTCTTCGACTCTCGTGCCTCTGACTTTATCAATGCGCAACAACTTGTAGCCATCAAACCGTTGCCAGTGGTTGTCAGGTTGCCAAGGCCAAACTTAAACTTCCATCCAATTCCCTGTCGCGCCCTGCTTCCAGTGACTTAGGCACTGGCAGGCATCTCCCGGCGGCGATCCAGCACAAGGCCCACCTGTCCAGCTTTCAGTGCAGGTCCAAGTGTCGGCGATGAGCCCAAGATCCATTCAGGGCGGGGCATCCATGTCGGGGAAAACCTGGCAGCAAAGAAGGCGGACATCGGACCTACATCATTTGGTTGAACTTGGCTCGCGCAGGCAGATGTTTTCATTGCGTCGCATTGTGAGCCTGGTGAAACTGATCCTGAGGTTTTGAGCGGTCACAAGCTGGATGCACATAGAACGCTCTGCAAACATACCCATGGTACATACCCCTGCATCTAAATAGTTAATTGGTTCGAATTTGGCTACACGGGTAGCTCTCATTGCAAAGAAACCTTCGCTTGCCTCTCCACTGCTAAGTGGACACGGGCTCGTGCTTTGCGATCATGAGTGGCCAAAAGGGCAGATCTCACCTTTTGCACCAGGTTGAGAAACCGGGCCCCCTCAACCTGCACGCACGGACCCACAGCTGGCACTCGAGAGCGCATTGTGGATGCCCAGTCGTGCACTGCAGCCAGCATCTGGGTGTAGCCCATGATATCTCGCTTCGTGAGGACCTCGAGTGAGATGGCTTTGTCCTCAGAGCGCCGCAGGGCGTCCACGCAGCTCGCACGTGCGCCGGGTCCGTGGGCCTCTTGCTCTGCGTTTGGGGTCATTGTGGCAGTCCAGGAGTGCGCGTAATGGGCCGCTTGCCCCACCACCGCGCAAGCCCACAAGGCCCACGCGGCCCAAAGCAAGCGAAAGCGGGGAACGCGGCTGTGCCCACCCAAGGCCTCGGCGGCTCGACGGCGCTGGGCCTCGGCCCGGAGCCGTGCGCAGTAGCGGCTGCGCAAACCGGGCGGCACTTCCCGCAGCAGCTGCGCCACCTCGGCCGCGGCCACCTTCTGCGCCTCCTCCTGGTCCCAATGCCTCAGCTCCTCCAATTCCTCCACATTCTCATCCTCGCGATCGCGGGTCGTGCGGCTGGCACTGCCTCCATGGCAAAACTCCTTGGAGGTGACGAGCAGGAAGTCAGGGCTGTCCTCCTCGGTGCTCTGATACTCCTCTTCTGACATCCCGGGCCGCGTTGCTTGCCAGCTTGGCAACCCATTGGCTCGAGCCAACTTTGCAATCCTTGCTCAAGCAGAGGCCCGCAACACAAAGGCACAAGGCACAGCTAGGCACAACTAGGCACAACTAGGCACAACTAGGCACAACTAGGCACAACTAGTAGGCACAACTAGGCACAACTTGCCCACTGCATCTTACAAAGCGTGCCTTGTCGTGGAACACGTCCAAGTCCACTGGTGCAAGAACAGGAGCCCGCCACCTCTCGGCCTCAAGATCCGCCACGCCATCACAGGGTGTAGGGTCCAAACGCCGAGGCCAAGTCTGTTCTTGCGAGCACCTGAGGGCGGGATTGATGCGTAGCCTGGATCAAGCGTCAAGCAGCTGCCTGCCTCCATGTCTTGGTCCGCGCCAAAAAGGACATCTGCCTGGAGGATGGACACATTCACACGCCTTTTCCGCATTGTGCAGCCTGCCTTGCTGGAGACCGGAGGCTTCAGCCAGAGCCTTGGCGGCTGTACACTGCGGCCAGTCTTTATAAATCCGAGGGAGGGGCTCTTCCGCATCATGCTCGTCACCCACCTGAGTCAAAAACAAAGGCGCATCAAGCCGGGCCTGCGCCACTTGGGCTTGGACATAGTGGTACATGTCTGGAAAAAGCATCTGGTGCTCCTCCAGCCTCTGACGCGCCGCCATGCTACCAACACATCTACACATGTTCAAACCCAAACAAAAGTACAGCTGATAACATACGCATGTACGTGCGGATATCCTCACGGGTTCGTTTGCGGGCACTCTCAAGAAGCATGCATCTGGATTTGTGCTGCTGCTCTGGCAACAGCGTGCCGCTCGTTGTGGGTTTCCCATTCATGCCGGCATGGCCACTGGAAGGGATGTGCGTCAATCACGCAGAGGTACGTGCGCTTCGCACGGCCCGCTCGGACAGGCATTCCGCAGTCAGAAGAAGCACATGTTCCGCAATGCGTCAAGCAAAATTAATGCCTTCCTATTGTACTCGCACCAAAGAACACCGACGCCATGCCAAATGAAAAAGGCACACTAGCCACATGCACAGCTTCTGCCTGTTTCGTATACTGCTCCTTGTGCTAGTCACTCAGACCACGGCCGCGGCTCAACTCTTAGGTTCGGCGGCTCGGGCACGGAGCGCAAAGCGGGCCGTGGCTGGAAAGCCGCCTCCCACCCTTAGGACAGGCGCAGGATGGCGCATAGCACAAGTGCATGCGCCAAATTCCGGGAGCCGGCCAGCCATGAGTGGCGGCAGCGTCAGGTCACCCACTTGCAAGCTGCCTGGAGGAACTTCTCCTTGGGCTGGTCTGACCACATGGAGTCAGGCTGGGATTTGGGCAACGCACCGTGCCAACCCGGAAGGCCTGAAAAGCCTGGCGGCAAGCCTGGTATGGGCAGCTCTTGCACAGCCGGCCAAACGCATTGCCCAAGTGTCACCTCCGTAGGGGCCGTCTGAAAGGTGCTGCAATGCTGATGGCGGTGCTGGTGGTGCTGCCACCTCTGCGCACAAGGCACCTCTGATACAAGTGAACGTGGCCGCCAGGGGGGCCTTGTTGGCCATCTCGGGCATGGGCACTTGGGTTGAAACCTGGCCGCGTAAGCTGACATCACTTAAGGATCGGGCGCTGGTCCAGCGCCTGCGCCGGCTCAAAGAGGAAGGCGTACTCCAACTCCCCGCCCTTACTCAGCCTCTCCCGCCGCCTGACACACGACTTGCCTTTGGGATGGCTCTTGTGCCCTAGACCCTTGGGCCCGCACTGCAGCCATTGCCCACTTGGCACGTTCCAAAGGCCCAGGCCTGCGCCAGGCAACTCGAGCATGGGGTACGTGCGACGTCGGTGCCGCACGCACTGTCGAGTGACCCTAACTGGGTTTCCAACAAGGTTTTGTGATGCTACACATGGTTGTCCTTTGGCACAAGCTGGAACAGGGGTCCGCTGATGAGGCTCAGGCTCAAAGCGCCGAGCGGCTCATTGCGCTGCACAGACGAATTGATGACCTGCAAAGACATGTGCAACAGCCTGGCAGGAAACCATGCAAACCGTGAGCTACAACAGCGAGCACTGGACATACTGGACAAAAAATGTGCATTTCTGCCTCCAGCTCAAGTTCACCGTCAGCCGCCGTCACGGGAAAGGTAAACCTCAACCACCCCTCCCTGCACGTTTGCGAAAATGATGTTCTAGCCGGGTCTGTGGCTCGTTGCTTGTTGTCCACACTGGATCACGGGTTCCCTCAACTGTGAGGGTCCTCCAGTGATGAAAAGGAAAGAACACACGTGAACGTAGAGCCTGGCAAGCTTCCACTGTTTCAGTTGTGAGCTATGAGGTCCTGCGCGTTGTCTGACCAACGGTGGCCTTGACGAAGACTGCTGGCCTGCAGCTTTTTGCGGCTTGGCGCCATGCAAACGAGGTGAACATAAGTGCCGAGCGCAGCCGCCGCATTGTCCTGCTCCGCCGAGTCACCGTGCTACATTGAGCAACTCCAGGTGCCCAACACGAAGCTGGAACGCTGCGAGAACTCGCAGTTGCAAACGCCCAACCTGAGAGCATCAGCATCCACTTGCAACTTCTGCCTGTCATGTGCGACCAGCCCAGGTCTTTTCCCAACCCAGGTCTCAGAGTCTAAGACGCATTGGTGAAAGCGGCGGCTACTCCTTGTCGCTTAGCGACGGGACGGCCGGCGTCTCTATTAGAGCGGGCTCCGGCTCATACACTGCTGCCACAGCGGCCACGGCGCTCTTCACAGCGGCTACCCAAGCTGTGGCGTCCGAGTGACTGCTTGCCTTCAAGACCAAGGAGTAGTTCACCTGAGAGGCCAGGGTCAAGACATGTTAAGACGGTCAAAGCCTCAAGCCCTGCCAAAGCATCCGAGCAACTGTTCTGATCACAAAATGCTTCTCAGGCGTATCTTCGGAGCAATAGTTGCATGCATCGTCAAGAAGTGCATCTTGAATCCAGGACAAGTGAATTCTTCCGCCCTTGGACCTGCCACGAACGCATTTGGGCATTTTGCTAAAATGCCTTTGCCAAAGCTTCTGGCATGTGTGGCCTTGACAGAAGCTTCAGCTCGCCAGTGGCAGGCAAGGTTGACAGCCACTCAGCATTCGCCGTCCTCGGCACATTGACGCATTGGCAAAGGGCAAAGGCATGCTATGCCATGCTCTGCAATGCCTTGCGGCCAAGCGTCTCTTCATCGCCGTCTTGGTCTTTGCAGGTCAAATGAAAATCAATTTCCGTCAGCCTGAGCAGTCCGTACCCGTAGCTTGCCAGCTGCCCTGCCCAATCCGTTTTAATGACTTAAAACTGCCATCTCCAGCATCAGCTGCAACATCAGCATCACCAGCACAACTCTTGGCAGCTGGACAACTTCTCTGCATCATCTTGATTGCCTTGCACAGTGCGCGGGGTGCGCGCGCACGATAGGCCTTCCCCTGTGCATCACCAGCATCAACAATGCTTGACCTCACCAACCGTCTCTGCACGGTGAGGTTGAGCATTCTGCGGTGGGCATACCAGCCCATGCTTCTTCTTGCTCACTGCCACGCGCAGCCCAAAACATTGCAAGAAATCTTCAATAAATCAACAGAAACCATTGCAAATGTTCAACGTGCGTCCTGGCAAAAATCCCGCTCTTTCTGTGAGAAGGCACTGCGTCAACAGACAAAAATTGAGCTGCACCACCAGCATCACCACCAGCATCATGCGCATTAGCTTTAGCAAAGCGACGCTGTGACTTCGGCGCATGGGTCTGATGCCCTCTCTGCACTGTGCTCTAGTCTGGAAGCTTCATCTCCAGCACCTCGCGCACCATCGCCATCACAAGCGCTATTTTACCACAGCTATTGCTCAGCATCTCCAGCATCACCAGCATCATCAGCATCAGCATCACAACTTTTGGCAGCAGCATCTCCTGCACCTCCTGCATCAGCATCGGCATCGCAACTTTTGGTCTACTGCTCTGCATCTCCAGCACCTCCTGCATCATCAGCATCAGCATCGCAACTTTTGGCAGATCTACTGCTCAGCATCTCCAGCACCTCCTGCATCATCAGCATCAGCATCGCAACTTTTGGCAGATCTACTGCTCAGCATCTCCAGCACCTCCTGCATCATCAGCATCAGCATCGCAACTTTTGGCAGATCTACTGCTCAGCATCTCTAGCACCTCCTGCATCATCAGCATCAGCATCGCAACTTTTGGCAGATCTACCGCTCAGCATCTCTAGCACCTCCTGCATCATCAGCAGCAGCAGATCTACTGCTCAGCATCTCCAGCACCTCCTGCATCATCAGCATCAGCATCGCAACTTTTGGCAGATCTACTGCTCAGCATCTCCAGCACTTCCTGCATCATCAGCATCAGCATCGCAACTTTTGGCAGATCTACTGCTCAGCATCTGCTCAGCATCTCGAGCACCTCCTGCATCATCAGCAGCAGCAGATCTACTGCTCAGCATCTCCAGCACCTCCTGCATCATCAGCATCAGCATCGCAACTTTTGGCAGATCTACTGCTCAGCATCTCCAGCACCTCCTGCATCATCAGCATCAGCATCGCAACTTTTGGCAGATCTGCTGCTCAGCATCTCCAGCACCTCCTGCATCATCAGCATCAGCATCGCAACTTTTGGTCTACTGCTCGGCATCTCCAGCACCTCCTGCATCATCAGCATCAGCATCGCAACTTTTGGTCTACTGCTCGGCTCCAGCACCTCCTGCATCATCAGCATTATCATCGCAACTTTTGGCAGATCTACTGCTCAGCATCTCCAGCATCTCCTGCATCATCAGCATCATCATCGAAACTTTTGGCAGATCTACTGCTCAGCATCTCCTGCACCTCCTGCATCAGCATCAGCATCGCAACTTTTGGTCTACTGCTCGGCATCTCCTGCATCATCAGCATCATCATCGAAACTTTTGGCAGATCTACTGCTCAGCATGTCCAGCACCTCCTGCATCATCAGCATCATCATCGCAACTGTTGGCAGATCTACTGCTCAGCATCTCCTGCACCTCCTGCATCATCAGCATCAGCATCGCAACTTTTGCTCAGCATCTCTAGCACCTCCTGCATCATCAGCATTAGCATCGCAACTTTTGGCAGATCTACTGCTCGGCATCTCCAGCACCTCCTGCATCATCAGCATCATCATCGCAACTTTTTGCATGGGGTACTCCTCTGCATTATCCTCCTTGCATGTTGTGGGGTCATGGGCACTGCCCGCGCAGGTGCTGTTGTGCTGTTTTCTTCTTCTTTTTAATGACACCGACTCTCCAAAACCTTGCGTTGCTGGTACAGGAAAATATCATATACAGTTCCGACGAGCTGCGACACCCAGCGTTTTATAGCAACACTCTCTGCCGCCTCCGCTTTTGTGTTTTGAGCGTGGCGGCAAGCTGAAATCTCCAGCATGCCTTGGCACAGGAGGATGGCATGTTGCAAAAGCAAAGTGGGACGCATGGCTCGCGCGCCTTCATGAAGCACCTTTGGTGCATTGTCCGCCAGCCAGCTCTTGGACTTGAGCATGTCCTCAATCGAACAGCTAATTTCCATCTGCACATGGAGTTCGACTGCCTCCAGCTTGCACAGGCAACCAGCAAAAAAAACATGGCAGACTGTGAGGATTAGCAAACTGCCAGTGCAGTCTTGGCGTAGCCTGTCGGTGGCATTTGCAGCTCAACCTGATAAGCCTCAACCCCACTAAAGGGCCAAGAGGCTGCCCACTTGACCGGAACCCTCTGCAAAACCTCCTTGTACCAAAGCATGCCATCGTTCTGGCACGTGAAGGACACATCTGGCAGATCCGGTGAGGCCTGCGCACGCAAACAATGGCACCGCATCAGTGAAGGGAGCATTGGAGACATCGCCTTCTAAACCATGGCCTGAGCAGCCTGAGAATCTAGGCTCTGAAGGCGTTCTTCCAGGTGCCTCTCCAGCCACGTCTCCATGTCCTGGTAGCCCAGCTCATACAAATGCTCCAGCATCGTCCGCGGAGGAGGGAACACACAGAAGGACATAGGCACATACTCGGAGGGGCCGACGTCTGCCCGCTCGCCGGTCACCTTAAAAACGTCTATGCCAGCGCAAAAGGGCTTCACACTGATGGAGTGCGCGTCGACTACCGGGAGGCAGTTCTTGAATGCACCATCCGCAACCTCCCGCTCGATGCCATCTTCATCACGAAACTTGAAAGGAAGCCCGGATATGCCACAAGTTGAGGATGCCAGCAGGGCAATGGCAATATCTGCAGAGTTGGAGAACTCCTTGAGTCGGTGCTCCTCCCCAGTCAGCATCATTTTAGCAAAGCCGCCTGGGCCGCTGCTCTTTGTGGCAGACACGACGATCTCACATCTCTGCTCTTGGAAGAGCGGGTGTTCGTAGGCGCCATCCTGGATGACTTCTTGCATGGCCTGCAACACGAAGTTTCGGAGGAGGAAGGCCTCGTGGGGCTGGTTGTGCAGCCGGTGGGCGCACCGCAGCAGCACGTCCACGACCCGCCGCGTGTCTGCGCCGTACATCATCAGGCATGCAGTCAGCGCCCCCCCAGAGGCGCCTGAAACCCGGGCGTATGGGTTCAAAGCGAGGCCTGGGCACAGGCGAAGCGGCGCACATGATTCGAGAGAACAAGACCGTCTCAAGACAACAAACCTACACAAACCATCCCATGCGAACAAGTGGTCAACTGGAGTCAAGATCAGTCGAGGGTCCATGGTTCTGAAGGCACGCGGCAGCTCCGAGCTGGTAAATCACCATCCACCCGGAGGCCGAGAAGGAGAACGACACACCCTTCACGTCCGCAAGTCGCCTGCTCCGTTGCCGTTCCGGGCGGGACACTGTCTCCAGTGTCCAGGTGTCCTCTTCCTTCTTCAGGGCATAGCAGCCGCCTCTCACCACATGGGATCGTAGTTTGTTCTCCCCTGCGGTGAAGTGGAAATCAAAGTTCCACGACTCGCCGGGGTCGAAGTGGAACACCTCCCCAGCTGCCACCTCTACGTGAGCCAAGTACCCCCCCAGCAAGTTGGCCTCTGCAAACCTAAGCTTCACAGCCTCCCCCAGGCCATTGCTCACAGAGACGCTGCCTTGGTAGCTCCTCCTCAGGTCCTTGACCCCGGCGCACTTGCGGACGCCAGTCACGGAGCCTCCCGCGGAACTTGCGCATCCCATGGCTCGTCTCAGCTTGAGCCCAAAGCAGCGCAAAGGCCAAATCTCTGATTCTCCCAATGGGAAGTGGGAAGGCATCCAATGCAAGCATCAACATGTCCACAAGTCTCTAAAACTCTAGGATCTTGCAGCATCTTGCACATCTGTGCGCCCAGAAATGCACAAGGCCAGCACTACACGAGTACCAGGTTCGAGACCACCTCCCACGTGTGCTTTCGCCTTGTTGGGCGATGCCTGCACGGTGGGAAACAGACTCGCTGCGTGGGAAACCTCCTGCTGGAAGTAATCCGCCATGTCCGCTCTGCTTGCCTGTCCGGCCCCTTCCACGACCTGCAGCTCGATGCCACAATTAGCTGAAGTGCCTGATGGGTCCTGCATGTCGCCAAAGCCAAAGCACTCAGAAAAGATACGAGTGCATGGCGACTTTGCATCTGCCCCGTCCGCCAGCAGGTACTGAGAAGGCTTCTTGGATCGCTGGTCTGGACGGTAAATCTGACACGACCTGAGCCCAATGTGGGCCCAAATAGATGAAGACACAGGGCTTGAGCATCGCACCCAATCACGGTGCCATCGGCAAATTCCACCTGTACCGTCAGGAATGGGGACTCCTTGCACAGCGAAGCGGCGTGCGATGTGTTTGGAGCCAAGACTCACTGGACATGTGCTGGGCACTTTGGACCGCTTGTCCCCAGTGTTTGTTTTCTGGACCCATCGATCGCCATGCAACACGTTGCCATTTTGGCTCAAGGCCTTTGATGTCACACCTCAGATGTGCATAGCTCACTGAGCCATTGCATCCGTGATACAAGTGCTAGCGGACCACTTTCAGGATAAACCACAACAAACAGTTTACCAAGGCTTATCCAGTATCAACCCATCAGTATTGACACTTGGGCTCTCCAGAATAGATCCAGGGCCACCACATACAGATCCTCTACTACCACAAGGTATCGGTTTTCTTCGGGGATAAGATAGCCGTGGCAGTGGGCCTCAATTTGTGGTAGCGGAACAGGTTTTGCGCGAGAGATCCAAACAAGATGTGATGAGAAGGCTTCGTGCAAGCCTATTCAAGTGTAGGCCGGTCCCATGGCTTCACTGAAGAGACGCTCAACTTACTATGACCGCCAAGCACCCGCCATCGTACGACGGATTGGGTGACCTTCACAACAATCGAAGCATCCACAAGAACCACTCTTCAAGAGCAAACTCGTTGGAGACGCTCACATGCACAAGCACCGAGAAAGGTTGTGGTTGCTGGGCCTAGGATCTGATCTAAGCTAGGGCCCACGCGGTCTGTGATGGCCGCCGCCAGGCCCATCATCATGTCCCAGGGGTAGCGGCTAAGGTCGCTAGATTTCCTGTCCTCCGGGACTGTGTGCTGGCGGTGGTGCATCCACTCTTGTGCCAGGTTGAGAGCAGGTCCGTGAAGATCGTGGTGGATTTGTTTACCACCTAGCCGGCTTTTGCAAGATCCTGAAGGAGGAGTCAGCTACTTCAAGAACACGCTGAGGAAGTTCCTCCTGAAGGGCTCGACGAACGTGTACTTATACAGACTTCTCAGTTTCTTTAATCACCGAAGGCAGAACACCGACTTCCTCATATTCACATAAAAAATTGAATTCTCTTGATGAGATTGAAAGCAGCCTGGATGGACTTGATGCCTGTTCACACGGCACAGTCACCAGAGTTCATAGCATCAGTACAACATGCCAACGCAAGAAGAATGGCGATGCATCAGCAAGCAGCCGGTGCCAGGATCTGCTGTTCACAGACAATCCAGAAGTTCTTAGACAGTACCTCAATGGCATGCAGACAAGACACAAGGACGCATTTCCCCTCAGCGACAATCTCATTGCGCATTTTTCATCATCCAAAGCAGAGAGAAAGACTGATCAGTGCAATGTCTTTGAGAACCATCTCGCCCGAGAATTACGCCTACAAGATGATGAAGACTCAGTACCACGATCTCTTCATTACAACGAGAACATCCATCCAAGATCCATCTATCCGACCTCCAGGAGGAAATCGGAGAACATCTTCTACATCCTAGAACAAGCGGAGTATGAAGGCGAAGAAGGTTTCTGAGTGGAAGACGAAGATGGAGTTGAAAGATTTATTGCGAATAATGATGAAGAGACTTTTTGGGTTTTGGGGGAGAATGATGCGTTCATTGCAAGGAAGGTGCCTGGGCGCAATTTCAGATTCAAGAAGAGCAAAGGAAAAGGAAAATCAGGAAGCAAAAAGGGGAGTCACCAACGAGGTGGTGCCAATATGGCCAAAGAAAATCAGGATCCCTACAAGCAGGCATAAAGGGAAGAAAGGAAAATCGAAATTCCAGTATCCCTGTGATGGAAACAAGGGTCATCCATCCTATGACAGTGGCAAAGGAAAAGGCGGACATGACAAAGGAAAATCCAAAACGTTCGCAGCCACGGCAGAGAAGAATGCGCCATCAACAGAGCCTACCTATGCCGGTTGGACAGACCAAGATTGGGATCCATCATGGAATTGGATGGTCCCATGAGACATCCAGCGCAGGACAAGTTTCAGAAGCATGAGAAAGAGGCCATCCACGAACGAGAAGCTGATCCAAAACGATGCAGTTTCAGAACACAATTTGTCCGTCACAACCAAGCAAAGCCTTTTAGCAACAAAGCTGATGGCGCCAGTCATGAACCCTCAGCACAATCCAACCTGTGCGATCCTAGACAACGGATGTACGCGATCCATGGGCAGCTGGCATGCAATCCAGCGTTTTACTCAGGCTATCAAACCATGAAGGACCTCATCTCCTACCAGTACATTCCGGCCGAGACCAAGTTCACATTTGCCAATGGAGACAGCTAGGGCCAATTGGACCTTGCATCTCAAATAGCACACGACTTGTCCGGCCAGTGCCAATATCGACATCCTAGAACAGGGCACTGTGCCGATCCTCCTGAGCATCAGCCAGATGCGGAACCTCTACCTGACCATTGAGCACACACCCTCAACGTGACCAGATCACATGTGAATCGTCAAGCGGCTCCAGTATCCGGCACAGGACTGGTCGATCTTGCTGGAGTGGCAAGAATGAAATCACATGCAGAGATTGCTGCAAAAGGACTCACAAATCACAAGCCATGTCTACGATGATGACAACAGCATCAAGTTTCCTTCCGAGAATTACTCGAAGAGAGAAGCTGCTTGTGCATCCAAATTGTCCGAGACAAAAAGAGACACAGCAACTCCAAAAACCATTGGGTCTCTAAAGCAGGATCATTGAAACTCGACAAGAAGAACAAGCAGCTCATCCGTGTGCGCATCACGCCTTGCAAGGCGCTGTTCACACCAACAGGAGCGAAGGAATGTCCAATCAATCCAGACAACATCAGCCGAGAAAGTAAAACAGAGATTATTGATGCATCCAAGGGCGGAGATCCAGACATCCTAGAAGACAATTAGAGACTTACATCCAAGGCGAACAAACCAATGATCAACCTGCCACCTTCGCAGACAATCCGCTAAAAGATGAAGAATCAGGTTCAGGATCTGCCGCAGACAGGATCATCGACAAGAAAGGCCGGTCGACCATTGAGCCAGATTCGACTGCATCATCCGCAGACGAACCAACATCATTGCCGCTTGCCTTAGGCAGAATCCACCAGCGACTGTCAAAGCCCGAAGAGTTGAAGAAGCTCCACCTTCAGCATCAGCATCACATGACTACCGACCAATTTCGATTCGGAACCCGCGCTCTTCACTTGCCGAAATCTACCTATGACTTATTTGACAAAATCCGAAGCGAATGCAAAGTTGGCCAAGCAGCAAAACATGCACCATCCAGAAGCCAAACTGGTGGACTTCGAGCGGATACATTTGGAGACATCACTTGACAACCCTTGGAACCGGAGAACGTATCATTGTTTTTGTCATCCTGGATGGAGCAACGAAATTGCTCACTGCAGAGGCAGTGACAACCACGCAAGAAATGGAGAACATCACTGTCCTCAGGTACTATTTTGACCAGTACCACTTGCAGCCCAAATCAGCTGTTGGAGATCGAGCCTTCATGAGAAACATGGGAACATTTCTACCAATCCCTCAATATCAGGCCGATATCGTTGGGACCGCACCATGGCCGAATCAAGCTGAAGCAGTTCGACTCCTGAAAGCACAGTTGAAGATCATGCTCAACTACATCAAGGCAGGCACGGCACCTGCAACCTTGAAGAAGGTAACACACCGACAGCTTGTGAAGGCAGCTGCATCTGTCAGAAATCAAACAGTCACCTACAGGGGTGTAACGCAATTGGAACTTGCATTCGGACGACGACCAGCAGATCTCATCCAGATTGATGTTGCATGATGTTGCAACTCTAACTCAATTGACGATTGACAGGAATGAAGAAGAAGTGACAGCCATCCAGATCAAGCAGTTGTCAAAACCAGCATTCTTTTGCTGGCAGGAAGACAAATCCAAGATTCATTCCGACGGAAGCAGAGGAGGCATATGGTTGAGAGGAAAAGCTATTTCATTGGAAGGAGCAATGGTTGGACTCTACCTTGGAACTCGACTCATCAAGGTCAACATGGCGAAGGTCAGGAAGGATGAGACCATCCCTTCGGGGAAACCCGAAATTGATTTTTTGTTGCCAGATGAGCAAGAAACCTTGCAGAAGGAACAAGGCGGTTCCTCAACAGATTCCAAGAAGAAGGTGTCATTCACACCAACTCCGAAGCCATCAACCTCCAAGCCACTACGCATTGTTGGAAAGACAGCTCCCAAGCCTCAGCACCAAGACCTGAGGAAAATATGTTCGTGGAAGATATGACATCCATGCTTGAAGAGGCACACTGGAATTGTTTACGAAAAAGAAAGATCCACGTTCTCGAGATCTTTGCAGGATGTGCCAGATTCAGTCGTCGATACTTACGAGCATGTTGATGAAGAAGCCATCCATGGAAGAGTTCGACTGCCGCTTGGACTGCAATCTCCACAAGACGATCCCGATGTGATCAAGGCATACACGGATATCTCCGGATCCTTGATGCAAGCAACTGACTGGCCCGTGATGGACAAGTTCCAAGCTCGAGGTTGCCACTCCTCCATGGCCATCAACATACTCACCATGAATCATAGGAACCCCGCGAGGAATCCTAAGTTGGACGGTAGAGAATTGAAAAACATGCCCATGCGAGACCGACCGATCACACGGATGCTGCTGCACAACAGTGCTCACATCATATGCCTCAACGAAGCGGACGCGTTTCTCGATCCTCAAGACGCAAAATGCACGGAGCTCATTCGCTTGTGTATCCTCTCAGGATACAAGGGCATTGTGATCAAGTCATGGTCTGCTAGACCCAATACCTTTGTCCGTGGCAATGAGCAAGCCAGAGTCGAACTTTTGCAAGATACATCTCAACGAGATCCCAGAACTGGGAACCACATTCGGAATGTTCAAATGTTTCTTTGGCACCGACTTCGACTGCGTAGATCCGGAGTACGGTACGCCAACCTTCGCCTTCGACTGCCTGGCGACGACAAGTCCTCATATGTCCAAAGAAACCTCAAGCATTTCGTCGGCGAGAAAATGCCACCACGAACTTCCATCCAGACCTATGGACACAACAAGGAAATTGTGGTGATTCACATCGACCAGAGTAACGAGTTCTGAGGAGCACTTCCGAGATCAACCGAGACTCCGAACACGGCTTACGACAGTCGACACATTCCCCGAGCCGGACATCCATACGCAACAATGGGAGTTTTCCATACTTATCCGAATATCACCCATGGAGCAGCAAGGGGGGATTTCCAAGCCAGAATCATGCCACTTGTCACGACATACCAATCTGACGCAATCACGGGCGACGCAAACAAATCCGCCAACACTTTCAGACGATTGCAGTGGGTCTATATTCTGGAATTTGGACAACCACATCATGCAGACCTACCAGGACACATGGAACACGACAAGGGGGATGCCTATCAAAGAAAGAATGGATTAGGCAATCGTACGTCACCATCCTTACATGAAGACTGGATCTGGATGTGACCGAACATTTCCGGATTGCATGATGACGTTTGTATTTGGATGGGGAAAGACCGACATCCAAAATCGCTTTCGAAGATCCGAGTATGAGTCCATGACCGAAGGGGAAAAGAAGAAAATGCAGGACAAGACCACGCTAATCTTTTCCGATTGCCAGGTGACCTCAGCTGAGCGCTTCAAGCACATCACCAACGAGATGTTCCTGACACAGCCCGCTCATGCATTCGAGAGCAAACAACGAGACACCAAGAGAGCCAAGGAGCACAACCAGAAGAACAAGGAGAATACCTGCAGGAGCTCATGGAGATACAACAAATCCTTACAAGCAACCATGCAGTGAAAGCGACGAAAAGCTTTCAGAAGCTCTAAAAAGAGATCACACGAGAATTGCACCACGAATGACGACCAATTGATCCTCACCATCAGCAAGATTTTTCTGTGAGGTCAACAGTTTCACAATGATCCTGCATGTACATAGCATTGTACATCATCTTTTGCTACAAATAGGTATCCGCAACGAATACAGAGTTTCTTTTCCTTTTGCCAACAAGGACATTTCATCCGCGCTAAAAGGGACGAATGCTGTAATTTTAATTCTGACAAGATACGCATGTTATCTGTCACTGACTACATTCATGGCTACGGCACACACTTGCATGGCTACGGTCGAAGGCCAATACGCCAAAAGTAATTCAGTGCTGGAGATCATCAGAAATTTCTGTCTGTTTTGTGTGTTTTCTGGACCATTGATCTCCATGCAACACGTTGCCATTTTGGCTCAAGGCCTTTCATGTCACACCTCAGATGTACATAGCTCACTGAGCCATTGCATCCGTGATACAAATGCTAGCGGACCACTTTCAGGATAAACCACAAAACACAGTGTACCAGGGCTTAACCAGTATCAATCCATCAGTATGGACACTTGGAACTCTCCGGAATAGATCCAGGGCCACGACATAAAGACCCTCTACTACCACAATGTATCGGTTCCCTTCGCGGATAAGATACCCTGGCAGTGGGCCTCAAACCCCCCCCCTTCCCGCTCCGTGCGCAACGGCAGGTGGCCATCCCAGTTCAACGGGATGTTCTTGCGCCCGTCAGGCCCCCCAACCTGCCAAAGAGCTACATGAGCAGCGTGCAGAGTTGGAGAAGTGCAAATACCTACCTGACATTTACATGTTAATAGTATGTGGGCGATTAAAGAACAATAGGGCTCAGGGAAAACGAGGGCACGCATAGCCAGAAAATATCTTGCGACGAAGCATGTTGCAAACAAGTTATCCTGCTATTGCTTCACGGCAGGTTTCAACCCTTGTTTTTGTGCGCATTTCACGCATGAAACACGTGCAGGGTGCTGTTGCAGTCTGAGGCTCAAAGTTGCGGAGGGCGCTGCTGCGCTGTGCGGTTGGGTGCCAAGACTCAGAGTTGCGCAGCGCTCAGAGTTGCGTAGGGTCTGGTTGTGGGTGCTGCTGCTGCGGGGCGCCGTTGCGGTTGCGCAGAGTGCTGTCGCAGGCTCAGACTCAAAGTTGCGGAGGGCGCTGCTGCACAGTGCTGTTGCAGGGCGCGGAGACTCTGACTTGTGCGGTGCTGTTGTAGGGTGCTGCTGCGTGCTGCTGCAGCCCGAGACTCAGTTGCGCAGGGTGTTGCTGCAGGCTCTGCGCAGGGTGCTGCTGCAGGGTGCAAGGTGCTGCGGCAGAGTGCTGTTGAGAGTTGCTTGCCAGCCTTCCCGGAGGGCTTTCTTCTGGCTATCATTTCGCGTTGGCGTGGCACTGAGAGGTGAGAGGCGGCGCGTTAAGCAAATCCAGCAAAGCTCCCAATGTTGCAATATTATCTATGCAAATGTTGATCCACCAAAATAGAGGCGGCGCGTTCAGAAAACACTGTGTGTGCAGGGTTTGGCAAGCAAATTGTTGCTCTGCCGGGTGGCATAGCACGTGTGTCTCTGCATTGAAGTTGGCATCTTTAGTTCGTTGGCTAACAACACGTTTTTGCTATCTGGGTTCTATGCCGGTATATGTTGTATGGCAGTTGGCATCTTTGTGACATAGTGCTGGGGATGCTGGTGATGCCTATAATGCTCTGCTGCTGCTGGATTCTGACAAAATCTGGGCTGTGTTTCCCGAGATTTGTCCCAAGTACATCCTTGATCTGCTAGCCCCCTTGCATTCTAGTCGCTTGCAAGGTGGAAAAGGAAGCACAACAGAAAGGTAGAACAGGCGGGTCAGCCAGCTGTCAAGGTGATTGCAAGTGTTGGCAAGACTTTTGTCTCATGCTTCCTTGAGACATCTTGAGACCCACATGCCAAGATGTGCAGGCTGGCTTTGCCAGTGTTCTTGTGGCCCCGCTGACACCCCCCAGATAGTGGCTACACATGTGCCTGCCTTCTTGCTTGCTGCCAGTTGGCCCAAGTTGTCCAAAACACGGACCTGGCAAGCGTTCCTATCGTTTGGCTGGAGCTCGTGCTAGATCCACATGCGCAAGGCTTGAGGGAACCATCTGAGCCCCTGGCAACATATTGCTGTGCCGGTCGGCTTGGCATGTCCAGCAGCTGCGTCACCTCAGCGGGCTCAGCTCGAGCACAGAGATAATAAAGTCAACGTCAAATGGATTCAAGGTGCATGTCAAGGGTCGGGCCTGCAGCGTCAGCTCGCGGCTCAAGCGCGGAGGTGCCGTGGTTTCGCCTCTCCAGCCCAAGGGTGGCGGCGGCGGCACCTCCGGCGTAGGCGTAGCACCTTGACTGGACAGCTGACTGCTTTGACACCGGCAGGCTTGGGCAAGCGAAGCATCGGTCCGAGGCAGCCGCCCAGAGAGAAGCTGGGTGGCGGGATGACCTTGCGCTTTCCCTTCCTTTCCCACATGAATGCCGACGAATGACGGCGTGCCTTGTTGGGCAGTGGTGCCTTGGAGGTTGGATGCACTGCGCTTGGCATCCTGCTGATTTCTCAGGGCGCCAGTCGCCAATGCCGCACCCAACAAATCAGCACCGCACCGCGTTGCCGACCCCTTGGGGGAATCCTGGCGGCGGTCCTGCACGATCAGAGTTGGCTTCCAAGGCTCGCTGCGTTTCACGCTGTCCTTGGGGTGCCAACGGCGGGCCTGTCTGGCGGCTGCGGCTTTGCGGGTCTGGGAGGTCCTGGCCACCCTCGAAGATGGTGAGCTCCACCTCAGCGAAGCTGCGGCGAAAATTTGCCCAGCCCAACCGTCCGGGAGCGTGGCCCCGCAAACAGGATGACTGCTGCGCTCGTCCTCAAAGCTGTAGGTGTTCTTTTTGGCTGATCGGGGGTCCATCCTGTGGCGCGGCATCTGGCGGGGCGATGGCATGATTCTCGGCTCCTGCTCAACGAGCAGCTGGCGATCGAGGACCCATCGTCAAACTGCAGCTCCATCGCCAGAATGACGCTGCCTGAGCTTGCGAAGCGGGTTACGACCTTACCCAGTCTTGTGCCAAGGCCCCTGACTGGTTTTCACACTGAGTGTGCCCTCCCTTTCTGTCAGGTTGAAGGTCTCCTGCCACTCCGTTCGATGCAGTCGGATCTAAGGTGCGGACTGCAGAAACGTCCTTGGTGTCCTGTGCTGGGGCCTTCCCTCCCAGCCTGCGCATCCAACTCTCACGAATCAAACCCACTCCGAGAGGCTCGGGCTTTGAGAGGCTCCCCAGCACGCGCTCATCATCGGCAATTTGGATGCGATAGGCTAAGGGCCGCCCTCCTTCGAACTTGCGTGGCCTGCCGCGTCAACAAACTCAACACACACAGACTACAGACACACAGACGCACAGAGAACACACAGAGACAGACACACACGGACAACAGACACGCACACAGACACACAGAGAACACACAGAGACAGACACACACAGACAACAGACACACACACACAGACACACAGAGAACACACAGAGACAGACACACAGACGCACAGAGAACACACAGAGACAGACACACACGGACAACAGACACACACACAGACACACAGAGAACACACAGAGACAGACACACACAAACAACAGACACGCACACAGACACACAGAGAACACACAGAGACAGACACACACAGACAACAGACACACGCACACAGACGCACAGAGAACACACAGAGACGGACACACGGACAGCAGACACACACGGACAACAGACACACACACACAGACACACAGAGAACACACACACAGACAGACACACACAGACAACAGACACACACACAGACACACAGAGAACACACAGAGACAGACACACAGACGCACAGAGAACACACAGAGACAGACACACACAGACAACAGACACACACGCAGACACGCAGAGAACACACAGAGACAGACACACACAAACAACAGACACGCACACAGACACACAGAGAACACACAGAGACAGACACACACACACAAACAACAGACACACGAACACAGACGCACAGAGAACACACAGAGACAGACACACACGGACAACAGACACGCACACAGACACACACACACACACAGACACAGAGAGAACACACAGAGACAGACACACACAGACAACAGACAACAGACACACACACAGAGACACACAGAGAACACACAGAGACAGACACACACGGACAACAGACACGCACACAGACACACAGAGAACACACAGAGACAGACACACACAAACAACAGACACGCACACAGACACACTGAGAACACACAGAGACAGACACGCACAGACAACAGACACACACACAGACACACAGAGAACACACAGAGACAGACACACACACAGACAACAGACACACACACACAGACACACAGAGAACACACAGAGAACACACAGAGACAGACACACACAGACAACAAACACACGTACACAGACGCACAGAGAACACACAGAGACAGACACACACAGACAACAGACACACACACACACAGAAAGACAGAGAACACACACAGACAGACACACACAGACACACAGAGAACGCACGGAGACAGACACACACACACAGACAACAGACACACACACACACAGACACACAGAGAACACACAGAGAACACACAGAGACAGACACACACAGACAACAAACACACGTACACAGACGCACAGAGAACACACAGAGACAGACACACACAGACAACAGACACACACACACACAGACACACAGAGAACACACAGAGACAGACACACACACAGACAACAGACACACGCACAGACGCACGGAGAACACACAGAGACAGACACACACAGACACACAGAGACACACAGAGACACACAGAGACACACACAGACACACACACACAGACACAGACACAGACACAGACACACACACAGACAACAGACACACCCACAAACACACAGAGAACACACGGAGACAGACACACACGGACAACAGACACACACACAGACACGCAGAGAACACAAAGACACACGGACAACAGACACACACACACACAGACACACAGAAAACACACAGAGACAGACACACACAAACAACAGACACGCACACAGACACACAGAGAACACACAGAGACAGACACACACAGACAACAGACACACGTACACAGACACACAGAGAACACACAGAGACAGACACGCACAGACAACAGACACAGACACACAGAGAACACACAGAGACAGACACACACACACAGACAACAGACACGCACACAGACACACAGAGAACACACAGAGACAGACACACACAGACAACAGACACACGCACACAGACGCACAGAGAACACACAGAGACGGACACACGGACAACAGACACACACGGACAACAGACACACACACAGACACACAGAGAACACACAGAGACAGACACACACAGACAACAGACACACACACAGACACACAGAGAACACACAGAGACAGACACACACACAGACAACAGACACACACACAGACACACAGAGAACACACAGAGACAAACACACACAAACAACAGACACACACAGACACACAGAGAACACACAGAGACAGACACACACAGACAACAGACACACATACAGACACACAGAAAACACACAGAGACACACACAGACAACAGACACACACACAGACACACACGGACAACAGACACACACACAGACACACAGAGAACACACCGAGACAGACACACACAGACAACAGACACACACACAGACACACAGAGACCACACAGAGACAGACACACACAGACAACAGACACACACACAGACACACAGAGAACACACAGAGACAGACACACACACACAAACAACAGACACGCACACAGACACACACACAGACAACAGACACAGACACACACACACACAGACAGACAGAGAACACACACAGACAGACACACACAGACACACAGAGAACACACAGAGACAGACACACACACAGACAACAGACACACACACAGACACACAGAGAACACACAGAGAACACACAGAGACAGACACACACAGACAACAAACACACGTACACAGACGCACAGAGAACACACAGAGACAGACACACACAGACAACAGACACACACACAGACACACAGAGAACACACAGAGACAGACACACACACAGACAACAGACACACGCACAGACGCACGGAGAACACACAGAGACAGACACACACAGACACACAGAGACACACAGAGACACACAGAGACACACAGACACACACACACACAGACACACACAGACACACACACAGTTAACAGACACACACAGACAACAGACACACACACAGACACACAGAGAACACACAGAGACAGACACACACGGACAACAGACACACACACAGACACACAGAGAACACACAGAGACAGACACACATGGACAACAGACACACACGCAGACACACAGAGAACACACAGAGACAGACACACAGAGACAAACACACATACAACAGAAGCACACACAGACACACACACACGGACACACACACACACACAGACACACACACACAGACACACACACACAGACACACACACACAGAGACAACAGACACACACACACAGACCCACAGAGAACACACAGAGACACACACAGACACACACACACACAGACACAGACACAGACACAGACACACACACACACACAGACAACAGACACACCCACAAACACACAGAGAACACACGGAGACAGACACACACGGACAACAGACACACACACACAGACACGCAGAGAACACACAGACACACACGGACAACAGACACACACACACAGACACACAGAGAACACACAGAGACAGACACACACAAACAACAGACACGCACACAGACACACAGAGAACACACAGAGACAGACACACACAGACAACAGACACACGCACACAAACACACTGAGAACACACAGAGACAGACACGCACAGACAACAGACACACACACAGACACACAGAGAAAACACAGACACACACGGACAACAGACACACACGCAGACAACAGACACACACACACAGACACACAGAGAACACACAGAGACAGAAAAACACGGACAACAGACACACACACAGACACACAGAAAACACACAGAGACAGACACACATGGACAACAGACACACACGCAGACACACAGAGAACACACAGAGACAGACACACACAGACAACAGACACACACACACACACAGACACACAGAGAACACACAGAGACAGACACACACAGACAACAGACACACACACACAGACACACAGAGAACACACAGAGACAGACACACACAGACAACAGACACACACACACACAGACAACAAACACACACACAGACACACAGAGAACACACAGAGACAGGCACACACAGACACAAACACACACAGATACACACAGACACACATAGACAACAGACACACACACACAGACACACAGAGAACACACAGAGACAGACACACAGAGACACACACACAGACACACACACACAGACACACACACAGACACACAAACAGACAACAGACACACACACAGACACACAGACAACACACAGACACACAGACAACACACACACACAGAGTCAGACACACACACACACACAGACACAGACACACAGACACACACACACAGACACACACACACACACACACACACAGACACAGACACACACACACACAGACACACACACACAGACACACACACACAGACACACAGACACAGAGACACACAGAGACACACGCACAAAGACGACAACAGAGACACACAGAGAACACACAGAGACAGACACACACAGACAACAGACACACACACAGACACACAGAGAACACACAGAGACACACAGACAGACAACAGACACACACACAGACACACAGAGAACACACAGAGACAGACACAGAGACAGACACACACAGACACACAGAGACATACAGAGAACACACAGAGACAGACACACACACACACAGACACGCAGACACACACACACAGACACACACACAGACACACACACAGACACACACACACACAAACACACACACAGACACACACACAGACACACACACACACAGACACAAAGACACAGAGACACACACACAGACACACACAGACACACACACACACACAGACAACAGACACACAGACACAGACACACAGAGAACACACAGAGAACACACAGAGACAGACACACACACACAGACAACAGACACACGCACAGAGAACACACAGAGACAGACAAACACACAGACAACAAAAACACACACAGACACACAGAGAACACACAGAGACAGACACACACAGACAACAGACACACATACAGACACACACAAAACACACAGAGACAGACACACAGAGAACAGACACACACACACACAGACACACACACAGACACACA